ATCTCCTGATTTGTTCATTTGGTATGCTGAAAACTATAGAAAGCTTATGAAGGAAATTGAAGAAGATTTAAAGAAATGGAAAAACATTCCGTGCTCATGGATTGGAAGAATAAATATTGTCAAAATGTCAATACTACCCAAAGCTATCTACACATTTAATGACACCTTAATAAACAGTTTTTCAGTGAACAAATCTCAGTTTAATATTTTCATGTTTTTTGGCCATAAACTTTTTTTGTCATTAAAGTGATTTTTATTGAAGTACAGTTGACACACAATGTTACATTAGTTTCAGATGTAGTATAATATTGTGCTTTTTATTTTTATTATGTTTGTTTATTTTTGAGAGAGAGAGAAACAGAGTATGAGCAAGGGAGGGGCAGAGACAGATGGAGATACAGAATCTGAAGCAGGCTCCAGGCTCTGAGCTGTCAGCGCAGAGCCTGACACGGGGCTCAAACCCAGGAGCTGTGAGATCATGACCTGAGCCGAAGTCAGATGCTTAACTGGCTGAGCCACTCAGGTGCCCCTATGTTGTTCTTTTTAAATGCACACAGATGTGCACATCTTTTGCTTAGATGCAATCTCTTTAAGATTCTTAGAGTCCTTTTTTTGTAAACATGAGATGTTCCACAAGGTAAAATGATTACTTGCCAAGATTATAAAATGTGAGTAAAAGCTAAAATAATGGTTGTCATGTGTTAAGCATTTACTGTTGGTTGAGCACTATGCTAAATGACTGCATTTTCACATTAATTTCAAAATCACCTTATGAGGTACTATCACTTTATGTTTTACAGATGAGAGATTGAGGCTCAGATTTTAAACACATATTCAATATTTACAAAAATCAATATTTACACTTCAACTTCCAGAATGACCTCTAGCTTCAAAAGTCCATATTTTCAGGAAATATCTTTTCAGTGCCCTGATGCCCTGAAGGCACTTAATGCCCTTTACAATCCAGCCAAGATCCTCTGGAGTAGCTGTGTTTTCTTATTTACCCAGCAGAGGGCTGCCTCACCTAGCTACTTCCAAATTTCATTCTGAAGGTTTCCCCATGTGGTCTACTTACCACCTCGTATTTTTTTTTTTTTTTTTATGTTTATTTTTGAGAGAGAGAGAGAGCGAGTAGGGGAGGGGCAGAGAGAGAGGGAGACACAGATCTGAAACAGGCTCCAGGCTCTGTGCTGACAGTTCAGGGCTCGAGCTCACGAACGGTGAGATCATGACCTGAGACAAGTCACTCCTTAACCGACAGAGTCACCTAGGCACCCCAACCACCTCATATTTTTAACAAAGGATTTGAGAGAAGGGTATGCTGTCCCTAAGCCTCTGTTTGCATGAATCATTCAGTTTTGTAGGAGAGGGTAAGGAGAATGGAAGAATATAGGTCTTGAGTATGATAATTGTACATGATGCTATATGCACATTTACGTTCATATTTTTTAGACTTTACGGGTTATTTTCTGTCATCATTAGGTTTTACTTTATATTCTATTTTCTACTAATATAGATGTAAGAAACACAACATAGAAAAATGGAAAGTATTATAAAAAATACTATTAATCCCACCACCCATAAAGAAATTTGAGAAATTTCTTTCAGTTTTTATTTTTTACCATAGCCGGGATCATATATAATAGGGTTTTTTGGGGTGTGTGTATGTGTGTGTGTGTGTGTTTTAAGGTTTTTAAGTGTTTCTTGAAGGTAAATATTAATATACAGCTAGAATATATGTGTTTATACTGATTTTTATGCATTTTTTTTCTAATTCAAATATTTAAGCTTATTGGTCACTATGATACATACAAGGGATAAAGTGGTCATCGCAATAAACATGTTTCCTCCCCACAGTTTAGTTTACTCTTTAGCATAGATGGTATACCTCAAAGCAGAAATAATTCTATGCATTGGGTTTGATAGGAAGAAAAGGGCACTGTAGCAACCTGTGGGATCCCAAGCTAGCCTGAGTGTACATGGAATGATTGTAAGCTCATTTCATAGCATCTGGAACATAGTAAACAACTGAGTAAAGATCTGCTGAGTGGATGATACATGGAATTACTATTGTTTGGGGTTATCTATCTTTTTTCTTCTGCAATTCTGCAGAGCCCAGCATGGTGTTACACAAAGGCATGGACCTGCTTGGATTGAGCAGACCTCAGACTAAATCCTGAGTTGCTAATTACTAGGCCAATAATGATGACTACCATCTACTTGGTATCTGCTACACGTGCCAGGCACTACACTAGGAATTTAAAATTTTTTAAAAATGTTTATTTATCTTAGAGAGAGAGAGAGAGGGAGACACAGAATCTGAAGCAGGCTCCAGGCTCTGAGCTGTCAGCACAGAGCCTGACATGGGGCTCAAACCCACGAACCATGAGATCATGACCTAAGCTGAAGTTGGATGCATAACCATCTGAGCCACCCAGACACCCCAACACTAGGAATTTTATATTTAATCTTCCCTTCTGTCTTACATTGGGAAATTTCCTTCACTGCTTTGAGCCCTTGTCTCTAAAAGAGATTATGTTCTTCATCCCCCGGTACTGTTGTATAGATTACTGGGACAATGTATGTAAAGTGCCTACTACACCAGTAAATAATAGGTGATAAAGACTTATGTCTGCCAACTAAAGATTGAAATGGTCCACTCCTTTTTCAAGAAAATTACTAAATATCCCATACTATCTCTGCTTCAGGCCTATTGACTTCAAAGAATAATGGAGTTAAAGATAGACTAAAGCCAATAGGCAATGTTTTTGACACTAGTTCCAAATCATGGGAAAAGTTCAAATTTTACAGTGTAAATGTACCAAATTTTACAATGTAAATTAACCATACTGTTCTTGTAGAAACAAATACACTCTGCTGGAGATCAAAAAAGAGTTTGCAGTAAATTCCTGAGCCCAATCCCTTTCCTTATGTCACTATTTTTCAAATTTCAGTGCTTAATTTTAACCATTTCTATTTTGCCTCCACATATGATATATGGTTATTCTCTTTAACCTTGACCTTTTTAAACTAAGTTTGAAAGAAGAAATGTTATGTCATGACTATGAACAGAAAATCAGCCCCTTGTCATAATTAAAAAGTAATCACAGATATAACTATTATATTCCACCTAGATTCTGTTGCCTGAGACCTGGCTCTCTCTCTGTTGAAAATGGAGAATTCTAAAAGGAAATTAGTGGTGTTAAAACATACCAGTACCAAATCGAGACTTTCTTTTATGTCAAATGGAGAATTGAAAAAGCAATAATTCAGTCATGATATGATGAATTATTATATCCTCCAGGAACATGTCCACATTTTTTTTT